TGTTGTAATTGATAACACCCGCAGGGTATCCATTTTGTAACAACAACTTCCTCAGTTCATTCAAACAAGAACGCAAAAGAGGAGGTGGCGAACAGGTGCGGAAACAACGAAAAGTGAGAATTCGGATGAGGTTTACTTTGTATTTCCTAGGTGTGAAGGAGTCCCATTTTGTGTACAGGCCAGTAAAGGTCTTCTTTCGGTAAATAGATGTTGAGAAAGTATGACTGTGGCGTTTGATGAGAATGTCCAGGAAAGGGATTGTACTATTATCTTCAAATTCGACGGTGAATTTAATATTTGCGTGACAGTTATTGAGGTAGTGTAGAAACTGAGTTGCTGTGTTTTTACTGTCGAACAAGGTGAAAGTATCGTCAACGTATCGAAACCAAATGGAAAGGCGAGCGTTGTTATTACGAACCCATTTTTCTTCAAAATGGCACATAGAGATATTGGCCAAAAGAGGACCTAAAGGAGAGCCCATAGCCACACCATCAATTTGGTCATAGTATTTGTTTTGTTTTGTTTTTTAAATTTAATTTATAAGAACTATGATTTTTTGATGTTCCAGAATGTTCTGGGATGTTCCGAAATGTTCCATGTTCCTGATTTTACGGACAGCTAAATGAGTTGCGCAGTTTTGAGTGAGATTTAACACACGGCAGCTTAGAAAAAAAACCTCATCTTACCTAAAGCTGAGCCCCGCTATTCCGAATATTTAAGGTAAACGAAAAATAACCCGTGTAGTTCGAGATAGTCGGTAGTAGATGACTGAAAAAGAAAATCCAAGGGAAAATGATCCGAGCTCGAGACGGGGGTTAGTTCAGAATCGCCCTAGGTAAATTCAGCCACAAATTGCTCCAAAATTTCTTAAACGCTGCCTCATAATTCTTTAAAAGATGCTTGAGGTTGCTGGACGTTAATAAAAACTTGCTCGTTAAGTATAGCATACAACGTGTTTTACTGCTTTATTTCTCTGAAATTTTCGTTTTCTGGCTTACTGAAATTTGCTCCAAGTTGTTTGGCTTCTCTGATAGGGTTGTTTTCATTCGAGGAAGAGTTGGAAATTTCTTCCGCGCTGAACTATCTGAAGTTTCCGGCGATGTTTGTGTTTGTGGCCATTTTGAGAAACGTGGTCTTATTTGCGAACCGCGGGTAGTCCAACTAAGGGGGAGGACGTGGGGCACAAGGCTGAATTAGCACGTTGTGAAATGTTATCTATAGACTAACATTAAACAACGGATATTTTCTTATAAAGATATTTACCAAGGCTTAAACAGTAATATACGACTTTGTAATTCCCTGATACTGAGGTTGTTTAAAATTTAATCAAGTTGCCCCCGAAATCAAAAGTTGCTTCAAATGGCAAAAGTTGCCGGAAAGTTACTTGTGGCTGAGGCTAACTGTAGGTGTTCGTGGTAGCAAGGATCAGTTTTATCTACTTGTTCCTGTAATTCCTAAGATATTTGGTAGCTAGCTATGGTTAAGTGATCATGTAGTAAGAACTATTTACGATATTATATCTGTGTCTTTATTTTGTTACCAATATGGAACTACCGTGTATATATTAAGGTGCCAAGCTGGTTGACGAAACGCGCTGCTCAAAATAGGGTCAGGTGACCGGCACTAGTGGACGACCGATGTTCCATCAGAAACGAAGAGGATTGAGTGAGTGAAGCTGGGTGTCGGGGAGAAGTGGGGACCAGCTGGTGTAGGGGTGGTTGTGAGGTTGTTTAGAAGGTGAATAACTATGAAAAGCTATCTGAAAGATGAAAATTACATAACAAATAGCGGGAAAACTCGCGTTAACCCACAACAACCCGATCTCGAGACGGTATAGTGTAATCACAGCTGTGGAGGCAACCACTGTACCAGAAAACACTGTTTATTAGAAAGTTGTGAAGAATAGCCTGGTGCAGACTGCAAAATGCATTCTAGCTTTCTTTAAGGGTATGCTTCGAGCGGTAATAAGCTCACACGTGAGCTTCTATCTGTCATACAAGACTCCGAGGGGTGAGTCGAAGAAACATGAGGTGACACTAAAGGACAAAAACGGTGGTTGCCTCGTGTTATCAGTTGTCTGTCCCCATTTAGCCTGCGACGAAGCTCTGTCGGACTGAAGAGAGCTTTCGCACAGGCTAATCTCCGTTTGCCAGTTGAAATTTTCACGCTTTTCACTCAACAGATGTCTGCTAAAGTAGACTCTTTTTCAGTCAAAGCTGGCACAGACTGAGTTCCTAAATATAATAGAATACTGTCTTCTTCACAATTATGCCGTTTCTATTATGTTAGAGCAAAGTTAAGTTGGGATAGGAAAAAGACTCAGGAATAGATTATTTAGATTCAATAAAATAGTTTGTTCCATTAACATTTGGGAAAATCGATGTTAGGCCTAAGGAATGCATGGAAGATAAACAGTTTGCTTTGTCCACGATTCTTTAGGCAAGATCTGAAGCGATGTAAAACACTGACCGCCACTTGTAAGGAAAACTTATCATTGATGGTGAAACGTTTCCAGCAGCAGAAGAACGAATGTCTAGAAACTTTGAAGGTTGGTTGTCACTTTAGCAGTAAAGTTAACGATAACTATAATCTAAAATGGAGTAAGCTGGAATTAACAGGTCAGAAAAGGGGCTTAACGATCGATCGGGAGGTTGGATTGTGATTTTGATCTCATATGGACATGTACACTGTATACTGAATGAGAAAAATGAGAAAAACTAACCGTGAGAAGGGCTATTCTTAATCCCCAGGTATTAGCAACTCAAAATCGTGACTTACGAAGCGTGAGTGTAGTGTTAGGATGAAAAGTCTTTCTTAGACTACTTTCCTCCAGGGAACACATTTCTCGAACCATAGGTACTGTAACGGATATTCTGGGTTTATTCATAATTGTATCTCTTTTACTAGGTTACCCTATGGACTGGCGATGGCCTAAGCCTGTGCACGAGTGGTCTCCCTCCAGACCTGTTATTTGACGTCATCGACACCAGCAATGTCAGTGATCATATTGGTTTGCTGAATGTTCTCGTTTGCTGTGCGCCAAAGCTTAAAGAGTACGTTTAATGATTCCTGTGTTTCTGTTTATTGCAAGCGATTGCTCTTATTATGTAAAGAAGTGTCGCTTAGCTCCGTTTTCATTGTTTTTGTTAGTACTTGTGGAGCGACCTCATTTTCACAAGGAATTTCCGTGCAAAAAATATTAAATTATTAGTATGGTAATTTTGCAGACGCCATTTCATGGAGCACGGGCCTGACTCTATCTTACCTGACTCTACTTTGATAGAGTCAGGCCCGTGAGAATAATTCGACATAATATATAAAGCTAAAAAGTTTATATATTATGTCCAATTATTCTCGTATTTTGATTCGTCCTTACTTATGATCTATTGGAGGACAGACGCATAAATGACGTCATTAACAATATCAGTTTTTTGAAGGCGTCAAAATGTGGTAAGAACATCTGAGTGACAGCTCGTGTGCCATTTTGTTGTTCTTATCACATTTTGACACATCTGTGATATATGCTCCTTGTTTCAAACCGTTTACTATGAAACTGTTTCCACTTTTTTCTACGATCTGAGCCTTATATTCCAATTCTGTACTTAGGCCAAACACGTCGCTCTTGCTCACATCAAGCATGTTATGGGGTGATGGCTGTAAAAATATAGAGGAGTATTACAACAAATGCGTTGGTGTTCCTGTGCAACTACTCCCAACAGTTCTTGGCTTGAAACTGGGGGTTGATCTTGATTTAGGAAGCAAGTACGTGAGTGCATCTTTTCAAAGATGCATTTTCTTCAATTCTTCGCATATGAAACGTAGCATAGGCCGTTTGAAGTTTTTCTTCGTGCTTGCCCTGTATGCAATTAAAGGAGCTCAGTCACGGTATTTTGAGGTATTTTGGCCACGTACAAAATTACCTTTCAATTGAAGAAAACCTGAAAATAATAGTTTACCGAGATAGAAAAACACCAAAGAGATAACAATAAACCATGAAGGAGCAAGGATGGTTAAGGATGGAGAAGATTGACACGGATTACAAACCGACGAACTTGAAAAATTTAGGCTCAACTTTTCAAGATGCGCAAACCGTGACGTAGCTCCTTAAATATAAAAGTAAGACGGACGTACAAGGTATGTTAAGTTAATGGTGAAGTTTGGCCCGGCCAATAACCAGGCCAAGCGATAAATCGAAAGAAGTAGGAACTTCCTGGCCGTGTGATGTAGTGGGCGGGATTGCTAAGAGTCGTTATTCCCAAGGGAGGAACGCAAGGACAAGACAACAACAACAACAAAAACAACAACAACAACTTTATTTGTACTCATACCTAAAATTCAAGTGTACACAAATAAGTTTAAAATAAAAACGAATACATGGCTGCCCGAAATAACCTTAATGGGCTTCTAAGACTGGGCAGCCATCCTTAGTGATTGAAGGGAGCTGTAGTTTGACACCGATACAACTCCCCCCCCCCAAAAAAAGATACCCATATTATCAATACACAACCTTCGCAATTTGNCCCCCCCGCTTCAACACTATTACACGATTGAAAAGCACCCCATATCAAACATCACAAAGAAACTAAACTATCTTTCTTTAAAATCAGAACTCGGCTCAAGCAAAACAAATACCCGAGAATTTTTTTCACACACCCCTACCCCTTAGAAAGTCTCGGTCATCAATCCAATGTCCCTTCTGGCCACTTTAATGAGGGAGTACAATATTGATTGCGTGAAAATAGGTTGCGGCCATTTGATAACTCACTTGTCCACGAGACTTATTTCAGCGTTTAGAGAATCGTCTCACCTTTAAAAAATTGATCTATAGACCCTATTTATAAATAGCTGTCAATTAAAAATTATTTTGTAAGTGTCAGGAGCCATAATTGGGGACGGAGGCCGTAAGTCTTGGGATCCGCGCGCACCCATGATATGGGACAATTTTTCTATTTTTAGAACAAATTGCGCCATCCTGACGTCATATATCCGCGCGGATCCACACATGCGCACATGTCGGGGGCTCTCGCGCGGATGTCGTCACGTTGCCTGATCAAACGGCGAGAGTGGAGAGATTCTCTTGCAGATTTTTCACAGCGGTGGTAGGGAATAAGACAGGGAATAAGAACTAGGGCTCTTATATGTAGTTCTATGCTCTGAGCTAATGGAAAAGGTGAGTTTTTCAGAGTCGAAAACAGGACTTCAATTTCGCGCTGTGAATGAATAATATCTGCTCGCACTAGTTGTACGAGTAAGATTTTGCGTTTGTTCTGTAAACAAAAGTTATGTTAGAAAACTCTTTACTCTGGTGTTGAGTTAATTTGTGAGTTTCCCAAACAATGCTTAATCATGACCAAACCCTGTTTTTGATAGTTTCTTATTGTTTCTGTTTGTTTGGCGAGTTTGCAAAAGTTTTTGAAGGGAAAGTCTGACTCGTACAGCTCATTTGCATAGTGCAGCGCGTGCACTTTCAATTCCGAGTCGGTGTTTTCAATTGTCAACAAATCTTGACAAAGATTTCTTTCGTTGTCTTTTGTACTGAGACTTAGAGCTTGGAGTAATGTGGAGCTCTTGTAAAAGAAGCAGCGGAACACAACTTGGTCAGTGATGTAAAGCGGGACATAACTAAATTCGACACTGTCTTACTTTATTCCAAAGTTAATTGTGTTCACTCGAACTGGAGCAGCTTACGAAAAAAATACTGAAAATTCCAACAGACATGAACGTATTGAGTTGTGGGCCAAAAGCATCAAACATTTCGGGAATTTCGGAGGCCATTTCCCCGCGCTTCGTCCGCAAAAATCCTCGCAGCATGCGCGCGCGTGTGTCGCAGGCGATGGCGCAATTTGTTCTAAAAATAGAAAAATTGTCCCATATCATAGGGACAGCCCCAATACTAGAAATGGCGCGCGCTTACGGTCTCCGTCCCCGATTACGGCTCCTGGTAAGTATTCAAATTACCCCAACTAACCTCGTTTTTGAGTCGATAATTCAAAAGAATTTAAATGCAGTGTTGTGTTTAAATAATTTAACACCAACTCAAATACTCTTCACTCGTCAACAATTTAGCTACCGGCTCTCTGGGTTAACCTGCTATTCTTTCTGTTCTTAAAGCAAACTGCCAGACAGATTTGATGCTTCGACAGAGATACTATGCTGGGTTAAGGCGGACGACAGAAGGACAATGGTGACAATAGGTTGACTAATACAAAATAGAATCACCAAGTTATTTTGGAAAAAAGAAAAAGCTCAATTTACTTATCACCCGATTTTGACCATAAGATGGTCAAACTCTTTCCTTGTATATCTAACTCTATTTATATCTTCTTTCAAAAAAAATGGAAATGACATTTTTACGCATTCATCCACAACAGTTTTCCCTTAGTTTATGATAAGGCTTGCTTTTCTTGGCACCGTCGCTCAAGCGATATCAGACTAATGCTGCTCCTTGCCGTAAGCAATTAGAAAATCGCAAATGACTAATCTGGTTGTAACCGGTAACCTGAATACTGGCTATATTATTCATTCTGGCACCGTACCCCGCCTTACGGTCACCTCGTTAATACGGTCACCCCGTTAATCCCGCCACCCTGTTAATACGAAATCCCAACCTGTATAATTTTTTATAATTTTACCCCGTTGATACGGCCACTCGAACCAGTTATGTTAATCTTTCCATTATTAGTATTGTATGTACTGATTGAAGTTTTAAGCTTTTTTAAAAAATCATATCTGCATTTCAAAGGCTTATTAAAGGACAGTTGTTTAGAAGTCGGCGAAACAGACCAGTCATGAAATTTGACCCTACCCCGTTAATACAGCCACTCCGTTAATACGGTCAAATTTTGATGACTCCGGTTGATGACCGTGGGGTCTATGGTTGGCCATTCGTTTCAAAATTACGACAGGGTATACGCGGGTTTTTCTGCCGCGTATACTTCTTTACATACGTTACGCTTTAAGCTCATATATACGACCGTTTAGATCGCGTATATACACTTTTTAAAGGGCCACACATTTGCGTAAATTCAAGCGCGGGGATATGCGAAATAAATGCCCAAATATACGCGTCCTACAAGGACCCATATATACGCGTGCTAAAATGCGCGTGTATATGCGGGTCTCGTAAATTACGTTGTATATGCCAGCACGAAATGTGCCTTTTTAAGAGAATGGCTGTTCGTGTATGATAGCAATGAAAATTACTT